GGGGGGGGGGGGGGAAGAGGCCCGGGAGCGGGGAGCAGGCATTCACGCCCCACCGCACCAAATACGTAACGGTGAAGGGTACCCGCAAGGTATTCTTCTTGAGTACGTCAAGTGTTTGACACAACACACACCTTTCTAGGGAACGGGCGTATCATGACCTCGGTCCGTGGGCTTGTCTGGGACGGTACTGTACATGTCGTACATTCATTCAAAACAAGCATGGATCAATTGTTACCTGTTGAAACATGCCTGATAGAACGCGTTTCGTTGTAATTCAGTACCTCATAGCGATTTGCTGGGTTTGTTTACCCCGCCCCCGTCCCTTCTCCTGATATTTTTTTGCTTCCTACCTCAGGTGATTTCGTACTCGCGACATCGGTATCGCATCTTTGGCGAGACGATCGACATCGCCATCGGAAACTGCCTGGACAAATTTGCCAGGTTTGTGCGTGTTGATGTGTTCCGATCGCGCTGCAGGAATGTGTCCTCCTTTCTTTCTCTCTCCCTCCCTCAGCCCCCCTCCCTCCCCTCTCTCTTGATTTTTTTTTTTTTACCGTACAAGTGCCTCTCCTTGCGTCTACAGTAGACTACCCCCGCAAGCGATTCCTATCGGAATGTTCTTGGCCCCCTTCCTTGACCAAAGTCTCAGCCGTGTGTGCCCCCCCCTCCCGCTGAGCATGTTGCTCTTACTCTTTTGCCCTCGTCTCCATCCACACTAGTGCTTGCACTGTGTGCTTGTTGCACTGATCCGATCGATATACCCTTTGGTCGGAGTACGGGCACCCTGGTCCCAACATACAGACAAGGAAAAGGGGTCACGTGTTGTGTTTGCTATACCGTAGGTGACGTGCGATAATCACACCCCCTTCGCCGATTTTGAAGGCTCAGGGGGATATCTCCACAGCCGAAAGTGGCGGCGCCTAAAACGGCGGCGCTGGAGCCGCCCCGTGGAGAGTTCCAACAACGCGCACCGATGTATTTGCGCATGCTCCTGGTCGTGGAGTAATTGAGCCTCCATGATCGGTCCATGATCGGTCCATGATCGGTCCATGATCGGTCCAGAGGGTGTTGTGGTATCTTATGCAACCCACGGTATTTTGGACGCCAGTCTACACCTTTCAGTGTGTATGCTTGTATGCTTGATGTGCCAGCCATGGGGCTCACTCACACAGAAGGCAAATAAACCTACGAAGATACGCCCATGATTTCGCACACACGCACGCCACAAAGAAATGATGAACGGCGTGTTCCGCGGCGTGTTGTCCACTACCTTGTCTCTTTGGGTGTAAACCCGAACTCTGCGCCTCCCCTCTCTAGGAAGCCCTACCCGTTTGTGTTACCGTACGATACAGCCCTAATTCCTATGCCCCGTCTCGGGGCGTCTCCTGGTCTCGTTTCTAACTGTACCCGTTTTTGGCGATGCTGGACTGACCTCCGCTGAAAGAGTATAGTCTAACTCTCTCTCTGTCTGTCTGTATGTATGTGTGTCTCTCTCCCTCTCCCTCTCCCCCTCTGTCTCTCTCTCTCTCTCTCTCTCTCTCTGTCTTTGTCTGTCTGTCTGTCTGTCTGTGTCTCTCTCTCTCTTTCTCTTTCTCTCTCTCTCTCTCTCTCTCTCTCTCTCTCTCTCTCTCTCTCT